ATGTGGAAGTGCTTCAAAGAACTCAAAGTTGAGAACTCGCAAAAAGCTAAAGTGCCATGTAGTAGTAATACAATTGGTATTTTTAAGCAATGAATACAGTTTTTATTTGTCGTGGATTAGTATTTGAAGTCGCAGATTTCTTTTGAGATATCGTGGATTTCACGGATCAAATTTTGAAAACCTTGTATCAGCCCTCCAATTGAATAATCTATGTTTTTATAATAAATTGGCAAAATCTCAGCTCATTTGACTCTTTGTTCTTAAAAATAATCAGTTTAAAAAGAAGAGATTTTCTAAAATAGCTCAACCTTCCGATAGACTTTATCAATCAATCTTGAAGAGTGCAAAACCATACAGATAAACCTTGAATATGTGATCAATCAGCTATCACCATTTCAACAATTTTGATTCACACTCAGAAAAATCAGACCTCTTTGAATTTTTTTCTTACAAAATCTTAGAGTTATTGTTTTCAAAAATAAAATTGTATTGGTTCATTACACCATGTGAACTTTATATTTAATTGTAGTGCAAGTTAATTCCATGCTTGTTTTTGGTTGCCTTTATGAAAGGTTAAATTAACAACATTAGTAGTATGTACATAATTTATTATAAAGCATGATTCATATGTATACAATCTGGGAAGTAGGAAGTAATTATTGAGTGCTCTTATCAGTGGCGTTGCCCTAACCTCAATCGAACTGTTCAACAACTCTCAAAACTTAAAAAAAAATACATTGTTCCCATTGGATACAAATCAGTGAAACTAGTAGAACCTGTGCCATTTGAAACTGATTTGAATGATAACTCTAAAAAGTTGTGAACAGGTAAAAAGTGAGGTTATGCGACGCCACTGGCTCTTATAAAACGTGGGCTGTTTTTGTTTCACCATCATATAACAAGCTTTTCTTGGTCTCATTAAATCAGTTCATCTTCGCTTATGGCCACTACTTCAAGCCTTTCTACGTCAGGTGATCTTTCGCTGCCTGATAGTTCACCGTTCTCTCGTTCGGATCCTGGACAAGTTACTATTGACACGGCTTGCACCGAACCCTCTAGCGGTTTACGAGTCTATTATCAGAACACCAGGGGGCTCATGACTAAATTGGACGATGTTTATCTGGCTGCGCTTGACGGGGAATATGACGTTTATGTATTCACCGAAACTTGGCTCGATGGGAGGATCAATTCAGTGCAACTGTTTGGTGACTCTTTTACTGTCTACAGATTAGACCGTAATTCATCCAACAGCATTCGTACTCGCGGTGGTGGTATCCTCATCGCTGTTTCCAACGCATTCGCCTCCTGCGTAATCGCCAACGAACTATTTACTACAATTGAAGCGGTTTGGGTTAAGGTCAGCCTCACTTCGCGGAACATCCTCATTGGAGCGGTGTATATTCCCCCTGAACTTCGACATGACTGCAGCACAATGCAGCTTCATATGGATGCTACTGAATTTGCATCGTCAATGGCTGATATAACGGATGTGCTTCTTCTGCTTGGTGATTTTAATCAGCTTGGGCTTAGCTGGTCACCCTCAGGTCAGGGTTATGCGTTTCCAGATCCGATTGCATCTTCAACTACTCCTGCCAGCCGCTTGCTTGGACTGACCCAGATAAACCTTGTTCCCAATTTCCAGTCTCGTTTTCTTGACTTGGGTTTTGTTAGCGAAAGTGCACTTCTGGACTGTTTCGTCGCTGAAGCGCCTGACGTCATCGTTCCTCTTGAAATTTCAACCCTGCTTTGGATATATCTATCGCGAACGGATCTCAAATTCGTTTTGATGAAACCATGACTGCCACTCGGCTCAATTTCCGGAAGACCGATTTCCGTTTGCTGAGGCGTTCCTTGTCCCGGATCAACTGGAACGTGTTGAATGACCTTGATATCGATACAGCAGCCGCTCGCTATAATAGCCTTTTGCGCGACTGTGTTTGTGCTTCAGTACCGAAGTGCCTACCTCCAAGAAAACCGCCGCAGCCTGAAACGAGTGCGATCTAGAGCTCTCCGTGCTCTCACTCATCGACGATGTACCCTTACTAAGCGAAATTTTTCAATTGCCAGCAACGATTATCGCCACTAAAACAAGCTTCTTTAGAAGAGGTATGTAATTCGTACTCAACATAATCTGCAATGCCACCCCAAGGGATTCTGGTCGTTTATGAATACGAAGAGGAAGGAAACTGGGCTGCCGTCAAAAATGTTTCTCGGCAATGACGTAGCATTGACAACTGAGGACAAATGCAGCCTATTTGCTAGACACTTCTTAAGCGTCTTCTCGAATGACTCCCCATCGCAAGCAGAAATTGAGCGAGCCGTCCGTGATGTGCCAACCGACGTCGTAAACATGGATGTTTTTGCCGAAGATGTACAAATGGTTCTCTCTGTGATGAGTAAAACCAAATCATCATTTTCACCAGGTCCGAGTGTTATTCCATCTGCAGTCCTAAAAAATTGCTCTTCAACCTGTCACTTCGTCAACAGAAATTTTCCGCACTATGGAAACGCTCTACTATGTTCCCTGTTTTCAAGAAAAGAGACAAACGCAATGTGGAAAACTACCGTGGGATTACCTCGCTTGGGGTTGAATCTAAGGTGTTTGAGTCGCTGATAAATGCGAAATTGTTTGCTTCCTGCAAGCATTACATAAGTACATGTCAACATGGTTTCTTTCCTGGCCGCTCCGTGGAAACTAATCTCGTCAGCTTTACGTCGTTCTGTATGGAAAATGTATGCAAGAAACTTCAAGTGGATGCCATCTACACTGATCTTAAAGCTGCGTTTGATAGAGTTGTGCACGACGTTCTGCAAGGAATGCTTGAAAAAATTGGATGTTCTGTTTCCTTCTGCAGCTGGCTTAGATCGTACCTCGTGCAACGTGAAGTTACTGTATGCATTGGAAACTACTCATTGTACTGTTTCTCGAACAGCTCAGGTAGCCCTTTGGGACCACTGCTCTTCTATTTATTTGTGAACTATGTAACGTCTATTTTACTACGTCGAGGTAAATTGTTTTTTGCCGATGACTTGAAGATTTATCTAGTCGTTCGAGGCTATGCCGACTGTTTAGAACTACAAAACCTTCTTGAAATCTTTAATGATTGGTGTGAACGTAATTTTATGTTCCTGTGCGTCTCCAAGTGCTGCGTAATTAGTTTCCGTCGAACTAGGACTGCCGTTTTGTTTGATTATAACGTTGCTGGGACTGCACTTCAACGTGTCGATCACGTTCAAGAACTCGGTGTCATGTTGGATGAAAAGCTCACATACACTCGCCACTTCTCAACCACGATCGACAAAGCTAATCGTCAGCTTGGATTCATGTTCAAGATATCTAAGGAATTTCGTGATCCTCTGTGTTTCAAAGCCCTTTACTGTTCATTGGTACGCTCACTACTGGAATTCGCGTGTGTTGTCTGGAATCCCTATCAAGCAGTATGGAGTGGACGATTCGAAGCTGTTCAACGCAAATTCGTCAGATACGCACTCTCGCTATCTTCCATGGAGTGACCCGCTGAATTTACCACCGTATGCTGACCGCTGTCGTTTACTGGGTTTGGATACTCTTGCTAAGCGACGAAACTTATCGCAGGTCGTCTTCGTTGCTAAAGTTTTACTCGCAGAATATGATGTTCCTGAGCTACTGGCCAAAATTAATCTGTATGCTCCTGCCCAAACACTCCGTCCGAGAATCTTGCATGAAGTAGTACATGCAACCAACTATGCTGCAAACAGTTCCTTTGTCGCCACGATTCATCAATTCAACGAAGCCTCTGACCTATTTGACTTTGACATCAATGCCTCCAGGTTTCGTCATCGTTTGCTGTCGGCCAATTTTTAATTTTTAATGAGTGACTACATTTAGATTTAAGTGTTTAATTGAGACTATCAAGTCAGATGGACTATAATAATAATAAATAAATAAAACAATGTTTTGTGTGTTTCTTGGACACCACAATCATGTTGGGGAAACTTTACTCTACCACCCAAGTAACCAGAGGCACGTTATGTCGGCTTTTTGGTTATACCAGTGTTTGTATGTTCTGATGAGGTGGTGCTAATTTCTGCGAGCGAGTTAAGAGTTTCCGACAATTGACGTATGAATCTGTATTTACAAAAGTAGATACGTCCATTTGAAAATTCATTCTTGAATTATCATCACATACTAAAAAAAAATACTGAATTTAAACTTCTTCACTCAATTCGGTTCATGTGAAGAGATATCAAAAAACATACTAATATGCAAATATAATAATAATGATAAAAAATAGTCGAACTATTTCCCTTTAACCTTCAATTCAAAAAACACGTGTGAGCAGATAAACAAACATCGCGCCATGTCTCTCAATTTGCAATTTACTCGCTGTGTAGCTTCTTCGTAGTCGTTGTTAATATTAATTGCGTAAATTTTCCATACGCACACGCACTGTACCAAGGTGTGCGTATCACTAATATAAACGGTTTTTTTCCCGAATCATTTCCTGGCGAAGTTTTTTGAAAACTTATCACCTTGAACCATACCTATATAAATTAGCTTTTTAGTTAGCAACAGTACACCTACATCAATACAATTAGTAATGGTTGTTCTTTCGGTAGAGATAAGGAAGGACGGCTAGACGAGGGTAATCGGCTTTCAAGGTTGTTCCTCCGACACGAGCCGCGAACTATTGGCGCCAATGGGCGCCGAGTTCGTCATTCTTGGTACTGATGGTGGTTGAATCGGATTCTCCAGCTTGGCTTTGTAAAAGCATTGCCTTACTGTATCTGCTTCTTATACTCTCATCTTCGATGACGGCACGAAGAGTTATAATTGTGCTCAATTGATTCAATTATCACTAGACTGGTAATGTTTTTAACCTTTGGCGCATGGGGAATAATTGATACGGGAGCTATTGTTGCCATGTGCAAAATTAGTGAAATCGATTCATTGACTACTTATTCTAAATATCATCACGGCGGGATTCATCAATGTTTCTATTATTTGTCTTCCATTGCAGGCACTAAATGATATCTGTGAAGGACAAGGTTGGGGAATAGAGGTAATCTGCGGGCACATCGGTGCGGTAAGTGTCAACATTCCCTACGAAGCTCCGCTAGCCAAGGACAGCTCAATAGAGGTAACCAACTTGTCAATCAGCCTCCGGCCGATAGCCCGAGTTACCGATGGCACATCTATGTTCGAGTCAATGTGGTCCTCGATGTCCAGCTCGATGCAGCTGGCCCAGGAATGCCTGGAACGGGAAGGCGGCTGCGCTGAGTCTCCCACTGCCGCCCCCACCAACACAATCGAAGGACTGGAGAAGTTTGCACAAATCATCGACAACGGTAAGCACAAATATGCAATACATTGTTGCATATTATTGTTTTTGAAACGTTCTGAAAACGAAACGCGCAATAATACCTTGGAGCAATCGAAGCCGCCCAGTTGTAAACAAGCGAATGTCGCAGAATAGCTTGCAGACTTTGACTGACCGTCTACGGGTGACGTACAAACACATTCCCGTTGACCTAATTTCTTGTGACTAGCCGTAATCAGCAGAAGTGTAGGCGGGTAGCTAGGAACGTTTGTGTTTTTTCGACAAAACAATTTATTATTATTCAGATACCCATTCGTTAACCATGGGGAGAAAACAACGTTTCAAAGAAGAGAGAGAGCGTTTGTTTACCTGTTATGTTGCTTTCATTTTTTCTGGTGGATGGCAAGTGGTTTTTGTAATGATAACAAAATACACACATGGTTTAGCAGGGCTGGCAGCAGGCTACTTTTTAGTAACTTGGTCACTTTTTCCTAGCCGGTCCCTTTTTTTTAATAATTCGTTTATTTTTCCAGGCTCATTTGCTGTAGCTTTGCGGAGCCGATATTTATTGTTTGGATATCAAAATTACTTTAAACTAACGTTAGTAAAGCGGGGGCCGATTACTCGCGGCTATCTCGAGGTTAGGGGTAACAAATTGTAACAAATGGATGGCAGGGTAGGGATTGAGAATACAAGTTTTGGAGAGCAATGTGCTCTTGATCTCAAACTAAGCAACATAATGATGAAAAAGACAAACATGGGGGTACACCGATGGGAAGCTAACAACTTGGGCGAGATGACACTAACAGGGCTGGTAGCGAGTTACTTTTCAGTGACTTGGTCACTTTTTTCAAGCAAGTCACTAAAAAGTCTCCTTTTTTAAGGCCAAGTCACTAAAGTCACTTTTTCTTGTAATCAGTCACTATTTTAAACTTTTTTTTAGCGTGAATTTATTTCAAGATTGATCATTCTTCTTGCAGTGTGTAGAAAAGACCTACATTTGGTTCTAATTTTTGAACAGTTCGAAGTTGACGACCTTGTATAGAGTTTTTGACGTTTAATCGTTTTACTCTATCTACACTCATTTGGCTAAATAAAATTCCTTGAGTTTTCCAGGTTTTTCCATAACTTTGACGGATAATTACCAGGTTTATCATAAGAAAGCTATTTATCAAATGCGTTAAAAATATGATTTTTTTATTGTAAAACAACAACAACAACAATTAACGCAAACGTTTTTAAGACATCAGTTTAAAAAAACAGCTTTACTTCATTTTAGTAAGTCTAAGATCAAAACATTTGCAATGTCTTGAAGTTTCGTACATACTAGCAAAATTGTGGAAACTTTTGAAACGTTCTATTTATCTCAGAAAAAAATCTAGATCTAGAGATCTTTGGGAATTCCAGAGATCATGAGCGGAAGTCCCCGAAATTTTAGCCCAGTCTATTGGATTGGTTTAAAAATCTATAAGCGTGAGGTTAGACAAATTCAGGTTAATTCCATGATGTGCTGAAATAAAATCGAAAACCCTTAAGATGTTCCGAGAGATTCAGTACAGAGACCTTCAGAATATTTATGAAAACTTCAGAAATATTTCAGGAACTTCACCAGGTGTTCACCAGAATTCCATTTATTTTAAAACAGAACCGAGATCTTCATTATAATTGAAAGCTTTAGGGAAGATCCGAAAACATAAAGACAGATCATAGAATTAAAGGGCAGTTAAAAATTGTTCAAGGAAATTGCAGAAACCTTAAAGAAGTTTCAAGAAAATTTCCGGGAATTTCCGGAAACTTCGGTTTGCTCACAGAAAATTTCTGGAACACAATAAAAATTATATGAACATCCGGAAAATGTGAGAGTATTTCAAAGGTGTTATATCATGGAAATTTCAAAAACTTAAAAATTTCGAAAATTTAGCTAGGCTGATTAGAGAACATCAATTAATTTTCATTCCATTAATTTAAAAAAAAAATGCTTGAACTTTTTGCAAGCACCGATATTTTCAAGAAATTCCAGAGAACTTCAAAGAAATTTAGATATTTTTAGATTGTTTTGTTATATTCAGTAAAATTTCAGGTACTTCGAGGACGATCAGATAACATCAGAAAAATCCCATTATCTTAAGGAAATTTCTAGCGACTTACAAGGAGTTCCTTGGAATTATGGGATATTCCAAGAATTCTATGATTGATATGAAAACATTAGAAGATTCAGGGAATTATAGATGTATCAGAAAATTCACCGGAAGATTTGATCAGTTAAGAGAATTTCAGGTTAACATAAAAAAAAACTTCAGGACTGGACTTTCCAGGGAAAATTAGTAATTTAAGGCAAAGTTCCGTGAGCGTTTATAAACTTTATAAAACTTTAAAAAAATTGTATAACTTAAAGACAATTCACTCAATGCCAGTTAAATTGTGGGTTCTTTTAAAAAATACTAAGATATTCAGAAGCAGTCTAGAGAATTTTAAGGAAATTGAGAAATATTTTGGGCAGTTTTAAAAACTTCAGGAAGCTCATAGCTTTGAATTAGTTTCGAAAATCGACAAATCTTGAGAACTTCAGTGAAAATCATAGAACTTTATTAATCTTTTCGTTGCGGGAGCTAAAGAAGTTCCTGTATTTCAGAACAACTTCGAAAACTTCACAGAAGTACAGAGATCTTCTGAAACTTTTCGAGAACTTCATAAAAGTCTATGGACATTTCGGGAGAATTCAAATAAGTTTAGAAAACAAGGGGATTTTCAGGGGAGTTCAGTTCCATTAGTTTCACTCAATTAGCGGAAAATTTCAAGAAGTTCCCAGATTTTCAGAGGACTTTAGAGATTTTAAGAAAATTATTGAGGTTTTCACATAAGTCCAGAAGTACACGGAAGCTTTAACATTTTAAGAACAGTTCAATTAAATTCAGAGTAGTGCAACAAGCTTCATGAGAACTGCAAACACTTTAGAGAAGTTTCGAGAACTTCAGGAAGGATATTGATCTCGCTAGAAAGCTCAACAACAAAAACTCTAAGAAAGAACAGATATCCTCAGAGCAGAGATATTCCATATCAGAAAAATTACATAAATATTAAAAAAGTTTAGAAAAATTCATTGAATTGTTAAAACTCTAGAGAAGATTCATGATCGTTAGGAAAATTATGGAAACTTTAGGAAGTCCTGTGAACCATGTAGTGAAAAGCGGTCATTTTGTGTTGATGGAAATGGGATGGGAATGGAGAGTAATACCAAGCACTTCAAACCATTCCCATCAACACAAAATGGCCGCTTTTCACCCCATGGTTCACAGAATGCAAACTCTTCCTCTTAGCGATACAGGCAAATCAAAGGAAATAACTCACATTCTTGAAATCGCTAAACTTAATGGGTATCAAGAAAAAAAAAACAATTCAAGCAGTAATCGATAAAAGAACAAGGGATGATTTTAGGCGTATTTCGACAACTCTTACACCAGTAACTGTAATGTCATATTCATACTCGAATCGGTTGAAAAATACACTTCTAGTTAACTTGATATCTAACCATTGCAAGCAATATTTTGATAATTGTTTATGTTTTGAGAGTTGATGCACAGGTAGATTGAGATTAAGGCGACGCCACTGATAATGATGAAAAGTTTTGCAAGTATCAGGCTAGTTTCATTAACTTCAGGAATATTTTGGGAACTTTCAAGTTGTCCTGAAGACCTTAGAATAGTACAATAGTACATACAGATTCCTCATGAAAATTCGCTTGGAGTTCTTCTCATCATTCGCTCGTATTCTACCGAAATTCTCATGGAATTATTTCAGAAATTCACTTGGAACGCTTTTCTGAATTCTCTAATCAATATCACAAGAATATAGTTAGATTACTTCTCGCAACTATCCTCCGAATCCAATTTTCTTTTAATTTTCCTAGGAATTGCCTTGAAATTCTCTTCGGTAAGAATTCAGATTTCTTTTTAATCTCACTCTTTCCTTTGAAATTCTACTCACATTGAAAACCTCCTAAGAATTGATTTCATTTCCCAAAAAATTTCTTAGATTTCTCCCCTTGATTTGTTTGGCAATCTCTCCTGGACTTATTTTCCGAATTTCTTTGAAGATCTCCTGGAGTTTTTCTCATATGTAACTATCCTCCTTTCAGCATCCCCTTCACCTCTTAAGTATTCACCATAACATTACGAGGATTGATGCTCCGATTTCAAATGTGTGGATGAAAATATTGAATGTTTTTATTTTAAAATGCATTCTTTTCTTTGGAATATCCTTATTTCCTGAGTACTGATGAGATTCCCTGAGACTTGCAGGTATTTTAAGGAAAAATAAAATTCCTTGGGAATTCCCGTTTTTCAGGTTTTTTTCAGGCAGTAGACACTTGGAGGTTTTGTCATAAACTTTCTATTGAATCTTTCGCTCTAAAGGTTCCTCAAACATACTTAAGTGTTTATGAGATTATAATTAAATAAGTCTAAAACATCAAACATTTATTTGATGTGCCTTCTCTTAGGTCACTTTTTAGTCACTATTTTTACAATTATAAGTCACTATTTGGTTACTTTTTCATTCAACATGGTCAATTTTTCATTCAACATGGTCACTAAAATCACTATTTCTGACAGCAGTGATCGCTACCAGCCCTGTTATGGGAAAACCAAAATTTTGGTTCATATCATCTCAAAATTCACCAGTTTCCTCTGTTTAAGAAAATGATAGCTGCGCTTGATGAAAATTTTCTCAGCTACAACTTTGTTTAGGACCACTTTTCGATTAAATGTAAGGAACATAAGTTATTAATGATTCCAATCACTGATGTCTTATGATTATGCTCAATTAACTGTTCAGCAGGCAACATAGGTCACAATGATAGGTTACAAAAATCATGGCTACTATGTCACACATTGCAGAATACAGTGTTGCCCACAATACAGCTGCTTAATCATGTCATAAGATTATCAATCTCTTCATCAATTAAATCAGTGTTCACTCGGTTGTCGACAGAAGCAGACCACTCTCAATGTGTGTCACGCGATCGTCTGTTTACTCAGCAGCAACCATTGTGTGGTCCTCCTCATTGTTCTTCATCAGCAGTTCTTTCAGTCGATGCGTCGTCGACTTTGCAAAGCAACCGTTTCGTTATGAATGTGTGAGTGCTGACCACGTTTTGCGTCCATTGCTACAATGGAAGCGCTCTGACCCTCGTTGGCGAATCTGCCATACAAGTAAACCACTGCAAGCGGTTCCCGTTCTGGTAGAGGAGGCTTATTGGATAGAAAAAGACTAGAAGACAGTGAACAAAAAGTTTAAGTTTCCCATAGTAATTTCCATATAAACTTCAAATGGTTTGTGCCAAGTCAGTTTCTTACCAAATGAGTTTAAATTTTAAGAGGCTAATCAGGACCCGATTTGGAACCGTTTGAGCACTGTGGAGTGAACATTTCAAATTTTGCACGATGTATAACTTTTTCCTAATACATTAGGAAGGATAATCACAAGCAGCATCTCGCACTAACAATTGATTTCATTGGAGAAAATGAAGTTCACTGAAGCAAATTCAATTTTTGAAGACAAATAAAGTTTCCGTGAAATTGGGGATTCTCAGGAACTAAAATTGTGTTCCCGGGAATCCCGAGAATCGAAATACTAATTCAGAGACTTTCTAAAGCTGTCAGTGATCCTGAGGTTTTAAATTTTGGAGAGTGCTCAGCTTGAAATTTTCTTGGAAGTGCATAAGCTTAAATAATTAAGATTTAATACAAAAATGCAAAAAGACGTGATTAGGCTGTATTAATCCCTGAATGTCTGATGTCATTGAACCAAATACGTTGAAAACGAATGGTTACTTTTAATAATGACGCAATAATCGATTCATTGTAAAATTGTTCTAATTCTTACAAATCAAGCAGTAGACACCAGACATGTGTACTTTAATTATAAGCTAATTTAAAGTTTGTTACACTCGCTAATTGATTCCTCTTTCTTTCAGTGTTGAACCGAATAAAGGCCCGACTGGTCAATACGGAAATACGCCTGGAATACCTGCCACCAGACAGTGACTGCGGGGTCGCTCTTATAGTCAAAATCAAGAGGTAAGAAACATCGCCATCACGACATGGCTTCAAAATCCCCCTCAATAACGTGACGATTTGCGATAAGGAATCCGGGAGCACAAAATATGCCTCGAGGCCAAACGATAATCGAAAACATACGCTACAAATTGCGAACTGACCTATTTTCACAAACACTCTTTCGCCTTCCGGGTGTTTGTTTAATGCGAATTTTGTTTTCGCTTTCAATTTTGGTCCGCGTGACCAGAAGGCACACGAAATTGGCGGGATATCGCTAAAACAGATGTTCTGTATTGGCAGTGGCGCGCATTACTTTAACTTCAACAATAATAAAGACGACGGTGGGAACCTAATCCACACACACAACACCAAACCTGATGCTGACATTAGCCGGCGATAATGTCTGGTTGCAGCTTATGCATCTGTAATGTGTGAAAGGCGCTAAGTAATTTTGCAGTATAATTACAGGCTGAAGCCGGTTTAGGTTTTCCCTTGCTAAATGCGCTTTGAACAGTGGAACTCTTTAGGCCAATAGATGGGCTGTGCAATTTAAAATATTTATTGTATTGCCGGAAGAGTGGAAAAGATGCTTATTTCATTCCCATTATATTATCAAATCAAAGGTAAATGTAGTAGTCATTTGCACATTTTGCAAACACATCGTCAGACATTGACCGTTTCCTACTGGTAATTTGCTAATGTTCAAATCTTCGATTTGGCTCAACTGTATGCTTGCCGAATTAGCCTTTGAGCACTCGCGCTGTTGTGCTTTGCACAACACATGTGGATTTTCCGTTACCATTTTATTGCAAAATCACCTATCGATCCAACGTTGTGCATTAATTTATTTGATAAGGCTCAACCGAATTAACTTTACAGAGCCGAGGATTCTTGTTCGCTATACAATACATCTTAAAACTATAGTCAAAAGGTATGTGTGTGTGTGTGTGTGTGTGTATTCCCTCTAACCCCCCTGGCCAGCAGTGTTATTATGGAAGAACTCTCTCTACAATGTCGCATTTATGGTCATTGTAGACAACTTTAGTCCGGGAGTTAGACGGTGATAGCTCTATTGCAGATCCAGCAACCAATTTCAGAATGTCTGGAGAGTCACGCCCATTCCGAGGTTACTTTCACTTACAATAAGCCCCGCATGTATGTATTACCTCTATCAATTGGATATTCGTATTAAACACACACTTCCAGCTTCAAAATGTTCTTTTGAATCCTGGCACGTATTTAGTTTATGTTTTTTTTTTACTGTGAAAAGTATTTGGACTGGTCTCACCATATTAATTTGATCCCCCAATCCATGGGTTACGTAGTTCCGAACACAAATTTTCTTGCACTGCCATGCCTGGGAGGATGTTCGCATCTAGTGCTTTCCCTAGGAACCGTTCGCGGCCATCAGTTACACCCCGTCAATTCTTGAGCGAGGCATTTTTCAAATTAGTCGCAATCTCCGACACCGTCAAGAGACCAGCAGCCGAACACTTTTGCAAGCGGAAAACTTGCTGATTCACGACACATTATCAGCACTTTCCCGGGCTAATTCACCAATCGGACCGGATAAAAAATCTCGTCCACGGTGACGAATCTCTCAATAGAACTACGCGCCGAAAGTGTGGCATCCGAACTCGGAGAACCGGGCTCCCGGGAGGCAATTAAACTGACACCAAACAATTGAACTGAAGCTGCGACGTAGATTTTGGAGGTTAAATTCAAGGTCAACCGAAGCACTCAAGGCGGACCTTTTTTTCTTGCTTCTTTCTTTTGTCACTGTATGTTTCTATTTTTCACTTGCTACATTCTTCTCTTTTTTAATCCAATTTGGCTTCAAAACTGGACGCCTCAACACAGGAAAAAAAAAAACACGAAATATCACTAAATGATAACTTTATGATTAAATTTCAGCACACAAATTAACAAATTCAAGGCAAAAAAGCTTAATTCGCTGACGAAAAATACGCAGCAAAAGAAAAACACGTCAGCTTTCATGCGCGGCCTACTAAGATTTAAAACTATAGTCAAAAGATATAACACAATAAACATTTTATCTTCCGCTATCCAATAAGCCACCAGAAACGGGAGTCGCTTCCAGTGGTTTCATTGTATGGCAGAATCGCCAACGGGGGTCAGAGTGCTTCCATTGCAGCAATGGACGCAAAACGTGGTCAGCATTCACACATTAAACACGAAACGGTTGCTTTGCAAAGTCGACGACGCATCGACTGAAAGTACTGCTGATAAAGAACAATGATGAGGACCACACAATGGTTGTTGCCGAGTAAACAGAAGTTGGGTCACACACATTGAGAGTGGTCTGCTTCTGTCGACAGCCGAGTGAACACTGATCGATCCAACGTGTATTCCCGAAGAAACTTGTTTTGAATACCTTAGCATAATTTTTGTTTACAGTAATACCCTAAATAGCGCGGTAAAATCGAATGCGCGTAAATGGAACGCGTAGTATGCGAAATTTGACATAATTGGTTCCACGATGGAATATCTCCTGATCCTGTCCTGACCATATAGAAGGTTTCTGTTTTCAACAAACCTATTCAGTGAGTCAAGGAATTTTGGTTGGTTTACAGATGTTCAGAATTTTCTCACTACACGGCGCTAGTGTGCAAGTGAATTTCCTGAATATGGGATCCTGTCCATATAGAAGGTTTCAGCGAGAGGCGCACACTTCGTTGAGCGGCATTGAAATTCCTTGTTGGGATGAAAAGTAACCTCCTTGACCGCCAAAATGCGCTGGTACTGGTAGATTGTAGTCCGTTCATAAATAGGCAGACATGCCAAATTCCAGTGCGATACTGTCTTTAGTTTTGTTTTGACAGCTGATTGTTGAAAAAAAAAGAAAACTTGGATAAATATTATGGGGCTAATGCTCCATTAGATTACACCGTCAAATATTGGTTTCGAGAGCTTCGTGGTGGCCGCAACTCCACTACCGATCAAGTCCGCAGCGGCAGGCTTTCCGATGCGGTTACTGAGGAGCTAGCAGATACCGCAAAGATTAGTACTGAGCCCACACGCCATATTTTGGGCAAGATTCTGCATATGAAAAAGTTATCCTGCCGCTGGGTACCGCGCAAGCTCACTCCTGACCAAAAACACGAACGCGAGAGCACTTCGAAAGAGTGTTTGGATTTGCTGATGCGGAATCGGGCGGCCTTTGGCGTCGATTGGTAACTGTTGATGAAACCTCGAGTATTGCACCCCAGAGAACAGAATGAGTGGCCGGCAATGGACTGAAGCCGGCACGAGTGCTCCGAAGCGGCCGAGGGAAGGTTATGGCGTCGGTTTTCTGGGATTGTCATGGCATACTCTTCGTGGACTACCTCGAAAAAGGAAAAACCATCAACAGCGAGTATTACTGTGCATTATTGGAGCGATTGAAGGCCGAAGTCGCTGCAAAACGGCCTCATATGAAGCGAAAAAAAAATTGTTTTTGCAAGACAATGCGCCGGCGCACAAGAGCATCGCAACTATGGCTAAAATCGATGACTTACGGCTCCAATTACTTCCGCATCCACCGTATTCGCCTGATTTGGCTCCCTCAGACTAGTATCTCTTCCTAAACCTTAAAAGATGGCACATCAATAAAAAAAATCAGCTCACGTGAGGAAATCATTTTGCAGACCTTCCGCGGAGGAGTATTTTGCAGACCTTCCGAAAAATTACTTTTCGGACTGGATTCCTGTTGCTAAATTGTCTTTAGAAACCCTTTTTAATTTTCCGTTGGAAGTATCCTCAGAAGCCGATTATATTGCGAAGCTTCTCAGATGTCCCTTGGAATTCTTTTCGAAATGTATTTTAAATGCTCTCAGAAATCTCTTGGAATTCTCCTCGGAATTCCTTTGGAAGTATTCTCAGAGTTCGATTCCCTTGGATTACTTATTAATTGTTTTGATGTTTCTGTATATATCTCTATATTTCGCATGCAATTCTCTTCGGAATTTCATTGAATTATATATAATGTATAAATTCACCTAAGGAGAGATCTGACCATTCTTACTAAATGAAATTCGCCACTGGAGATATCCGGAACATATCCGGATGTTGCCAGTGTGGTCCTGAGCAATCCAAATTACTTCAATGGAACAGGTTTCTGAATTCTCATATGATGTGTCACATAATAGGTTTTATTCGTTTCAGGTCAGATTTAATCTAATGTCCGTACAATCAGGAACTTGTTCTGGTAATATCTCCGGAACCAGTTGACTGATTCCAAAACCAACCAATACCGTTCCATGGGAGGTAGGTTCAGAATTTGATCACTACGTTGCGCTAGTGTACAAGTGAATTGTCTGAATATGCTATATCTTAGAAGCATTCTGTCTTCGTCAAATTTGTTCAGTAGTTCAAGGACTTTTCTGTTCAGTAGGTCAACATTTTCTCACTACGCGTCACTAGTGTGCATGTGAATTTCTTGAGTATGCTATTACTTGGGATTCGGGTCATAGTGGAAATGGATGTAATGTCGGCCTAAATGGCCCTAATTTGTGCCTATACATAAATTCAGCAATCGACTAAATTTTCAATAGTGACCAAAAATATCCATTAGTACCGTCCCAATGACGCGTTCATCTAGATAAAATTTATAAATAGCAGATTTTTAGCGATGGGCCCAATCTTAGATCCATAGATTTTTTGTCTTTATTATAGAGATTTTTAGCCATATGGCTATCTCTTAAGATAGTGTAAAAAAAGGAGAAAAAATTGGGTTCTCAGAAGGACATGCCCAATCTTGGCTGTGGTACATTTATCTTGCTAGAATGAGAAGGTTTAGAAAACTGCCAAAAGGGTCAAACAAACTGGAAATACAAACAAGGAACACTCAGATATTGTGGTAAAGGTTCGCCTCCTTTAGGAAGGTGACTCGTCGCCCAACAGGTTCCGAATGCTGATTGGCTCCAAGCCGAAGGTCCTCCAGCTCCACGGTGGTTGGCACTCCGCAGGTTTTGCAGGTCCTCCGGAACGGTGTTCCTCCAAAGGTGTGAGAGACTCTGCTGTGCCCGGTGTGCAGTTTTGACATCACTCGTTGTTCTCTTAGGCTTGGTCGATCCTTCCAGGTTCCGGTGGTCGCCTTGATCTTCCGAAGGTGGTGTGTACTGTTGTTCCTCCACTCGGTGTCCCAGGCTCTCCGAACCGTCCGCTTGATACACTTTTTGACATCTTAGAGCGGTACATGTCGGCTGACCTGGGCCCAGTGTGGCCTGAGCCGGCGAGGTGGTCGGCTATTACGTTCCCTTGGATCCCGCAGTGACCGGGTACCCACATGAATATAGTGTTGGGTGGCGCGTGCTTTACCGTCCCTTGGATCCACGGATACTTCGGTGTTTCTGTTGTTAGGGCCAATATCACGCTGTGTGAGTCAGTTACGACTAATATCGGCCGGTTGGCCGGTAACTTAACCGCGTGGAGAATGGCCGCTGCCTCAGCTGAGAACACCGAGCATTGTGTCGGGAGCGATCTGCTCACAAGCAGACCATCTCCGGAGACCCCTATCCCCACTCCGCTCCTGTAGAGCGAGCCGTCGGTGTACCTAACATCATAACCTTGGTAGTGCGCCCCGAGAGTTTCGACAACTGTCCGGCGTAAAGTCAGCGAGTTGTCTCCTGCCCTCAAGCAGTCCTTAATTCGTCTGTCAATTTTGTTCTTGTGCGATTGCCAACTTTTGTCTCCGTGCCAGTGGATCCTGGCCACTCGAGGGAGATCTACGTCGGCGGCCGTGCGGAGGAGTCGGTTCGCCTCGTCGAGGAGAACGATCCTGTTGTTTCCCGACGTTTTAGCGAGAAAAGCAGCGGCTTTGGTAGCAGTAGCTGCGGAGAAAACGAGCCGAAAAGGTAGGATACCGGCTTCAACGCATGCAGCGTCGGCCGGGGTAGAGGGCAGGAGACCGGAGACTGTTTGAACGTAGCCGTTGTACACCGGTTCCAGAATCTGGACGGCTTTCTCGGCGGCAAGGCATGTAATCTCTACACCGTACAGTAGGCGACTGTCGATGATTTCGCGATTGTTGGATCGGTGGGGGCGGGAGATGGTCTTAATCAGGTTGGATCGACTGCGACAGTCCTTCTTTACTTGTTGGAAGTGCGGCTCAAAGGATAAATTTCGATCGAGGAGCACTCCCAAGACCCTCACGGTCTTTTTGGTCGGTATTGCTTGTTGTTTAATCATGATGGGCTGTCCGTTGTTGCGATGCCTGGTGGTTCATATATGGCAGCGCACGCTCTTGCCGGCGGAAAGCTGGAAACCAACAGAGTCAGCCCATTTGACCACCGAGGAGACTGCCGCTTGCGCTTTCAGTTTCGTCCGCTGCAGGGTGGGACCCACCGTTACAATGCCGTCTCGAATGAACTAAATTCTCCTCTTGTAGGGGAACAGTTTAAAGAGACGTTAATAGACGTATCCACAGCTACGTATCCACCGTTACAATGAGGACGTCATCCGCGTAGACGAAGATATAAACGTTCTTGGGTAGTTTGTCAAAGACCCCATTCATGGCCACCAGGAAGAGGGTGACCGCGATCACCAAACCCTGTGGCACTCCGGTTTCCTCACTAAAACTTCCGGATTGCACGTTTCCGACCGAAACCCGAAAAGATCGTTCGGTCAGAAACTTCCGGACGAAGTGAAGGATGTGTCCTTTCAGGCCCCAATCAGCAAGCTTCTTCAATACAGCTGGTGTCCATGTTCAGTTGAACGCTTTGGAGATGTCCAGCGAGACGATGACCTTGGTCCTTTGCCTCCTTCAGGACTTCCCCAAGAGTGGCGAAGTAGGTGAAGGTGCCATACCCTTGTCTGAAGGCGTGCTGCCGATGGTCAAGCAGCCTCTTGGCCTCAAGATATTGCTTCAGCCTCCTGTTGACCATCCGTTCCAGGACTTTGGCCATGCAGCAGGTCAGTGCAATGGGACGGAACCCAGTGATGTCCTTGGTCCCGACATTGGTTGTCGATAACGGTATAACAAAGCTTTCTCTCCAGTTTTCCGGGTATTCTTCAGCGGTCCAGAGTTGGTTGTAAAGGTCGAGAAGTTTTGTTTTGCCTTCGGGTGGAGGTGCTTTACCAGCGGGTAGCCGATTTCGGCCAAAATTATAGCCATATCCCCTATATACTGTTTCTGTCTTCGCAAAGTTGTTCAGTGAATCAAGGACTTTTGGCTGGTAGACAGAAGTTCTGAATTCTCAGTATTCAAGTGAAAGGGCAAATCTATTTAGTAATTCAAAGACTTCCGGTTGGTGGACGGGAGTTCAGAAGGTTCTCACTACGCGGCGCTAATGTGCAAGTGAATTTCCTGAATATGCTATATCTTGGGATCCTGGCCATATAAAAGGTTTCCGTATTCGGCAAAGTTGTTCAGTTAGTCAAGGACTTTTGGTTGGTGGACAGAAGTTTAGAATTTTCTCACAACGTGTGGTAGTGTGTAAGTGAATTTCCTGAATATGCTTTATCTTGCGATCCAGGTCATATTTAAGGCTACAATCTTCGGCAAATTTATTTAGTAGGTCAAGGACTTTCTGTGAACAAAAGTTTAGAATTTTCTCACTACGTTCCTGAATAAGCTATGTGTTTGGAAATTTGCAATATAGAAGGTTCTTGACTTACTGGTCAAATTTGCCCAAAACAAGGATCCCATGATGTAGCATATTCAGGAAATTCAATTCCACACTTGTGTCGCATAGTAGTTAAATTCTTAACTTCTGTCCACCAATCAAAAGGCTTTGACCTACCGAACAACTTTGTCAAAGAGCTGTAACCTTCTATATGACCTGGGTCCAAGATGTAGCATATTCAGTAAATTCACTTGCATACTTGCGCCAAGTAGTGAGAAAATTCTGAACATCTGTCCAGCAATCAAAAGTCATAGGTTACCGAACAACTTTGTCGAAGACCTGTAACCTTCTATATGACCTGGGTCCCAAGATGTAGCATATTCAGTGAATTCACTTGCATACTTGCGCCAAGTAGTGAGAAAATTCTGAACTTCTCTTCAGCAATAACAAGTCCTTTACCTACTGATTAAATTTTCCGGAGACTGTAGCCTTCTATATTGCAAAGATACCAAGATATAGAATATTCAGGAAATTCAAACTTCGGCTCATAGTGAGAAAATTCAGAACTGCTCTCCAACAACCTTGGTTAAGGTGATACTATCCAGAAGCCCGGGGTCTGATGCCACTTCGCATTTTCCAGCTGAAATCGTAGTAGTGTCCGAGATTGACTCCCTAGAAAACTCGAAGTGGCAGTGCAAGTGTCTATGATTTGTCAGAGATTTAGATTACTATTAGAAAATGTAAATGCATCTGATCAAGTTGTCTGAATTTCTGCGACCCACCTACGGACAGCCGTCGACCCACCAATGGGTTACGAACCATAGATTGAGAAACCCTGTAAGTCTTATGGAATAAAAGAACTTTAGAAGAAGTCAAAGCTTCAATTCTTATGATGGAAACTTCCAATTAATTCATGATATCAGGGAAACGCCCGTAACTTACCCAGCATGATCGAATTTCTCGCGAATCAAAGAACACCCGCAGAAACAAACAAGACCACCTCGTACGGGAGGTATTCTTTAAACATGTTGATGGAATTGATCTTATAAAAATGTACCACCCTCCTTGCTGTCGTATAAAACTCCAATTAAAGATAAATTTCCCATCTTCTTTCCAGCATCGATTACCAGAACGAAGCCGGCAACGATCCACCCGACCGCCAGTCGGATACCGGCAGCGAAGACGGTAGCCAGCCTGAGCAAAGGCCGAAACAGAAATCTTTCCTCATTTCCACACATGCCACACATCACATCAGCATGGAAGGTATCACATTCTACACGGAGGAATTCCGGATACACAATCCACGGCAACAGCAGCAGCGACGACGACAGCAACAACAACGACCGGACTCCTCCACCGATAATCGGGACAGCATAATTGCCGGCGAGCAGTTTCTTAGCACGATATCGGATTTTCCGGATCCGGCGGCGACGGTGGCAGGCGGTGGCAATGAGTTCTTTAGTTATACAAGCGCTTGTGATAGTAGTAGTAGTCATAGTTATAAACGTACTGACAGTAGAGGAAGTACCGGCGGAGCACCCTCCGAGGGAGAAGAAGACGACGGGGACGGCGATTACGGGGAATGTATCCGTTCGGGGGAGATCCTGGCAGGGAAGGTTACATCGAAGCAGGAAATTCGGATAAAGATGAAACAAGCGGACAATTTGAGTGGACCGAATGTGGAGCTGGAAATGTCTTTAGGTTGCTTTCAGCTATTCTTATCTCCCCGACAGTTGCACTCGATTGTCCTACTGAGTGATACAATGCTCGGATTGAATGAGATACCAGGTCCGGCCAAGTGTTCTCGGCCCGATTTGACACCCAAAGAGCAACGATACGAAGAAACGGAGTTCGATTTGAAGCACAATATGAACCGGATGAGCGGTGGCATCGGCCTGAACCAGGGATGGTCTTTGGCAGATCCGATGCAAGACATGATTAAGGAGCAAGCCGAATTCTTGGACAGTGATTTCCGAGACGATGGTGGCGTTTCGGAAATGATAGAATCGTCAAACAGTTCCATGACAAGCTCGTTTACATCATCCAGTATGGCTTCCAGGACAACGTCCGCCAGCAGAAGAAGAATGATCGATCCGGATGCGGATGCAGATATTTCCAAGTTTAACGTGAGGGTTGCAGCAATAGCTTTGGTGCTCTTGCACGAAGATCTACTTGTGGAGAGCAGTCAATCCAGTGCCAACGAATCGCCTCTGAGTGAAGCAAGCGTTCAGAAACTCCAAGCTAAGTCGGAGCAATTCTTCCGCTCGGTGGGAAACCTAGGGCTTGGCCTAGGTGCTAACGATATTCTAAATGCGGGGCTCATCATGGATTCGGGTTGTGATAATAGTCATTTGCGATTGCTTCTAGCGCCAATCATCATAGAAGGAGACGAACAACGAAATCGACTTGGATCTTTGTTACGATTTTCCATATCCATCGCCCGTGCCGATCTCCGAGAGGTCCTGACAGACGTTTCAGTTCCCCTTCTAGAGTTCTATCGAGAAAAAAGTTCTAGTGCACTGCCAAAGCGTCCCGAAATATCTGTGCGTTTCAAGCAGACTTGCAACGCCTTTAAGGGCTCTAGTGGGAAGCGATTCACTCCTCCCAGAACGGAAATCCGATTCTCGCTTGCGCCGTTCCTGACTGAATTCGACATCACTATTCTGGACCGTTTGAGTTCCTTAATCTACCAGTTCCCATTCGCTTCCTACTACAATCAGACCACTCCAGTGAATTCTCCTGCATCGCCAACGTACGCGAGAAACAGCCGGAAGATGGAACTCAAAACTGAACTGTATCTTGACTCACCTGCCATTGATTTTCGGTTACGATTTCCGATTCCAGATCTTAGGCCCATCCATGATCCGCAACGTGTTCCCTGGTGGCGCCGCAATATCCGGCCTGACTTTATACTGGTAAAGTTGCAACAGGCCCGCGTCACCATAGCCTTGAACCCGCATCCTCTCTATGACATCTCGGCTAACGAGATTCAGCTCTTCTATCACGAGAGTGAACTGAAAAGCGATAGTGTACATATAGGCAAAGCTGTGATGACAGATAATATAGGTAGTAAGTATAGCCCTAGCCATGGTGGCCGGAAGTCTGAGGCATCGCAACCGGCAGGTGTTGAATATCCGAGGATAAAGATTGAGATTCCTAGTGAAGCGGCGATCCAAAAGCTCCAGGAGTCGAACACGCAACCAAAATCGAGCCAACACAGTCGGACCATGAACTGCGAAGAAAGTGACAGTGATCCGACATCTGGCGAGAGCTTCGGTGTCAAAACGGGACGGAGCAAAGAGGACACGCCATTTAGTGCGAAGCGTGTATGTCGGGAAAGTGATACTCCGCACATGAAAGCCTCGGCTGATGATCCAGAAACGCTTACACTGCCTGGCGATTCGGAGGAGCTAGATACTTTCTGTTCAACGGCGATGAAGTTGAGCAAGCTGCAGATTCGGATCGACCTGCCGGTTGTTAGTTTGCAGCTGAGGTAAGTTATGTTTTAATGTTCATGAAATTTACGTTGCTCACGTTCGGCTTCATCGAATTACAGATCTAAGCATCTCTACGAGGTAATCTACAATCGTATCAGTACGGATCTGCTGCTGTGGGTACCGAGTGCTCCGGCGGCAACGGCTGCTGCGGAAACTAGTGCCAATTTGAGTGCCTCTAGGGTGGCATTCCAGGAGCCGCAGATCAACCTGGCCAACATGGGAATGATGGATAGCATCTATGCTCCGTTCACGATGTGTCAAAGCGCTATCCAACTTGGTTAGTTTAGTACATATGGCTTATATGATCTCCGAGGGTACTGATTGTCTTATATTCCGTAATAGATTCTAGCTCATCGGCAACCAATTCAGAATCGGAATCGGACTCGGACGGAATATTCTACTCGGTGTACGATAGGAGTTGTAGGCGTCTTCCTGGTGATGGCAGCGCAAGTGGGGCTGGCAATGATCAGCGGAAGTCACACCACTCGACGCAGCAGCACGGCGGTAGTCGTCGCCATCAGCAGCAGCATCGGAAAGCGTCGTTTGTCGACAGGAGTAATGCCGTATCGTTTCAACTGAACATTGGACAAGGCATGCTGACGATGTTTGCTCCCGTGCGGGTGAGTTGATCGGTTGATTACAGTTCAAATAGCCCAATTACTTACGATTCCTTATCCGCCTTTCCACATAGGACGCCCAAAATCACGTCATACCGGGCCAGCTTGGCGAATTTATCATGAAAATCCAATCGACGTATGTATTTTCGGTGAGTGGCTTCCACGGGAACACCAACCTTGGGTATCTTTGCATTCAGGGCAAAGCAGCTGACGTCTATCATTGTGGTATGTGAGATATTTTCTGAGTTTGAAAGTCGGAATTCACAGGTATATTTCTATTTACAGGCCTCATCCCAACCCCGGCAAATAATCCTCCGTTGCGATTGGTGAACAGTGTACTTCCGGCGTACATCCTCAGCACGCTCTATCCTACGCCGAAGAATCTAACCGTGAACGAGCAGCGTGGTTGTCCCAATCGGGAAATGCTTTCGCTAGCAATTCAGATAAAAGCCATCCCTGAGCAGAGCATCAAGCGGATCCGTATGGCAGCGGGAGTTCAACTGACGACTCTACGGCACCATTCTACTCTTCCGCAGCACTCGTGGCTAACGCAACTGTTGGATATGTTCGACGTGGTGGACTATCCGGTACAGGGCTATACTCCGCTGGGTGTGATAACCGAGATGCATCTGCACCTGTGGGACTGTGCGATCGACTATCGTCCGCTGTATTTCCCTTACCGAGCGGTGATCACGGTTGGATCATTCATGATTAGCAGTAATATAACTACGGAGAGCTCGGGGTTGACGTTGAGGTTTATCGCCGAAGATGCTACACTGTGTCTGGCGCCGCAAACTGTCTCGCTTCCCAACATCGGTGGTGAGAAGGAGCCACAAAGGAAAAGCAGCAGTGCGAGTGCTAGAGAGGACAATAGGGTGACGGTATTGCCTTCCAATGAACTGGTTTGCCTTGTTGAACTTGGATTATTTGAGATTTCCTTGCGTTTGAATGAGAAAGCCACTGGTTCTTTTCCCAAATTTGACCTGAGGACTGCCATAAACGATGTTCATGTGCGAACTTGCGCCGATTCAGGCCGAGCACTGGCTCAGATGATTGGATACCTTGCGGCGGAAGGTGACCTGTTGCCGCAGGACGATGGAGCGAGTGATGTTGGGGACAACGAAAGCGTGTGTGGCTTACCAATGGGCAATGAATTGGAAGGTGATTTGGTTCCGGTGAAACCTGCCCAAGCACCGGAAGTGACGCCTAAACAGCAACAACGAGTAAATTCATTGATGGCCGAAGCGATGGAGGAAAGTTTGTCACTGCAGAGCACTAACAGCGACTTATCGCGGGATGATCAGCTACTGGCCGACGGAGAAGGGGTGGAGGTATTTTTCTTCCCGGACGAAGATCAAACTCGAGCGGCTGCGCGGAAAAAGTTAATCAACAATCTTGTTTCGGACAACAGCAATAAACGGCGATTTGCTTCGGATGATGATTCCTTGAGCATAGAAGAAGGCTCAAGCATACCTTCTTCGTATCAGGACGATGATCACTATCTGAAACAGAGACCGTTCGACGAACAGTCAGAAGATACGGCAAGCGTTAACACGGAAATGCGAGAGTTGCTTAACTTCGAATGTTCCGTTATGGGATTGCAGAAGGAACATGACGACGATGATGAAGTGGTTGAAGCTCTTCCCCAGGTAACGATGGATCTAGGTGATGTCAATAAATTTGGAGGATCTTCGACGAAGCTTGAATCGACAATAGAAAACAGTCCTCATCGGAAGGTCAGTTCCGACACAGATGATGATTTCTGCTTTATTGCTGATGAAGAAAAACCACACTGTGGTAATCAGGAAGTACCCGTCCTAGAGGATCCTATTCGCATAATCGATAATCACTTCAGTGTTCCTATGGGCAAACCTGATCTACTGTTAGCACCCAAAGGCTTCCCCATGGCAGTTACGCGGTACACCATATGCGAAATGTCGGTCACATGGCATCTTTATGGAGGCCATGATTTTCTAACGGAGGAAGACAAAAGAAAACCTAAAGCAAAACAATCACATTCGGAACATAGCTTCGCACATTTACCGATGTCCGAAGCGTACAAAAGTGGTGTAAGTTATTCGAAAGGATCTCCCTCGGTAACCTTCGGTCCGACATCAGCTCAGAAACTTACCTGGAAAAGCCGCGGTGGGCCCGAACGGAGGCACGATGTCATGATGGAAGTACAGATAAACAAAGTAAAGTTTTCGCACGAGGTGTACCCACCAAACACGGAGCAGGCCTCCCGGCAGGTACTTCTCATAACGGAGCTGGAAATTTGGGATCGGCTAGCGATATCGGACATTAAGAAATTCCTATATCAAACCAGCATTCATCGACCACACAAAGGCAATAATCACATGATAGTCATCAAAGCTCTCCACCTTCGCCCGAATCCCGTTCTTCCTGCGCAGGAATGTTGTCTGAGGATTTCTATCCTTCCTATCCGACTGAACATCGATCAGGATTCGCTTCTCTTCATGGTAAACTTCTTCAACCAACTTGGCGGCGGAGACGATCTGATCGATCCGGCAATGCAGTATCAACACAACACTGCTACTCGAGCAAGTCAATCAACGCCCTCACATCAACCTCCGGTGATGATGGTGGAGCTTCCGGAAGCAGCCCAGGAACTACAAGCCCGAAAAATGGTATCCGAAAACCTGATGCTGCTGATAGAGGAAGAGGAGAAGAACAAGGAACACCAGGAAACAACCAGCGAGGTGGGTGACGAATCGCCTCCCATATATTTCCGAAACGTTATTTTTGGGCCAGATGTTCCGATTCGTATTGATTATCATGGCAAACGTGTAGAACTGTCGCGTGGACCGCTGGCCGGACTGCTGATGGGACTCGGACAGCTGCAGTGTTCGGAGATTCGACTGAAGAAAATTTCCTACCGCCATGGACTGTTGGGCGTGGATCGTCTGATTTCGTTCCTACTGCAGGAGTGGCTGCAGGACATCAAGAAGAAACAGCTACCAAAAATCCTTGGGGGCGTTGGACCGATGTATTCGCTTGTTCAGCTATGTATGTGGATAACTCCATTCAGACAAAGAAGTTTTAATTAACAATACATTATTGTTTGTTTGCTTGCAGTCCAAGGCATTTGGGATCTGTTCTGGTTGCCGATCGAGCAGTATCAGAAGGACGGGCGCATTGTACGTGGTCTCCAGAGAGGAGCTCAGAGTTTTACTGCACGGACAGCGCTAGCGGCGTTGGAAATTACCACTAGAATAATTCATTTACTTCAGGTTAGGTTCACTTACATATATGCACGTTGTTTCAAGAGAATTAATATTGAATCGTTTGTTCGATTGTAGATAACGGCTGAAACGGCATACGATATGGTTTCGCCCGGACCGTCGGTGCGTCGTGGGCGTGGAAATAAGAAAGGAAAGCGGAAACGACTACACCCGCCACAGGACATTCGCGAGGGGATGACCAATGCCATACAGATTGTGAGAGACGTAAGTTCATTGCTTGTTTTTTATTCAGCCTATAGAATTTCGAATCGCATTTGAAGATTTTACAAAAATCGAAAGATTTTGTAAAACCTGTATTTTTGTAACCTAAACCTAGTACAACTTGTTAGATTCACTCCTCTAAGAAAAATCACTTGGAATATCGGTCATCGAACGATAAATTCTAGACCAACAATTGAAATAGAGAACCAAAGCACATCCTCGAGAATCAAAGCACATCCAAGAAATCTAACATCATCAACTGATAGAACAAACTTCCTTTATCGAATGGCATTGTTAGTTTGTGTCGGAGTATTTTGATTCTCGAAGAATTTGCGTTTATTACGAATGGTTGTTCCGGCTATTTCAATTGTTGGTCTAGAATTTATTGTGTTATCTTAATTTGTGTATACCCCCGAAATGCAGGGGAAAATCAAGGCCTACTTTGATCAAATTTACGAAGCATTACATGTTACGGATGTTCCAGATCTTCCGGTAAACCATCTGGTGATTGTATAGGTTTAAACGGTTTCCGTTTGGCCTCATAACTGTACCAGAAATATTTTAAAAGGTGGTTGATGAGATCCTGTATGGATGCGACGGAACGCATTGGTATCTAGACGACATTTTTGTAGTAGGCAGAAACCTTGAGGAGCATGACACTAGACTTAAACAAGTTATGGATAGGCTGGAGCATAGAGGGGTTCAGCTTAACTGGGACAAGTGTTTGTTTAGAGCTGAGGAAGTTGAGTTTCTCGGGCATAAAATCACAAAATCTGGTATAGCACCATCTGAAATAAAAGTAGCAGCATTCTTAGCTTTCCGTCGACCTACTAGCGATAGCGAGGTCCGCAGCTTCTTAGGGCTGGCGAACTATCTTAATAAGTATATTCCTGATCTTGCAACCAGAGATCAACCACTAAGAGAGCTCACCAGAAAATGAGTAAAGTTTTCTTGGGAATCACACAACGAAGAAGTTTTTCAGACGATTAAGCGAGCAATGGCAGATGTGCAGAAGCTAGGATAACGGCAGTGGTTGCAGATGCCATTCCAACGGGACTCGGGGCAATTCTAGTGCAGACGGATAACTTTGGGGTGGAAGGGTCATCAGCTTCGCCTCCAAGTCTTTAACGGAGACTGAAAAGCGCTACTGTCAGACCGAGAAAGAAGCTTTGGCTTTGGTGTGAGCCGTGAAAAATCTCAATTTTACCTTCTTGGGAAGAAGTTTAACCTTGTCACAGATTGCAAGGCTCTGTTATACTTGTTTACGCCTCGGTCACGCCCATGTCCCAGCATAGAAAGGTGGGTTCTAAGGTTACAGTGCTTTGACTATGAAGTTTTTCACATTCGCGGTGACCAAAATGCTACTGATGCTCTTTCACGACTTTCAAGCACAGTCCCTGAACCATTTGATTCAGCGGAAGAAATTATCGTCAAACATATCTCTTCTCTTAATGCCTCTGCTGTTGCAGTTTCGTGGTCGGAACTGGTCGATGCTTCACGAGATGATGCAGATATTACAACTGTTTTCAACTGTTTGCATAACGATTATTTAGACTTACTGCCTATTGCATATCGTATTGTTTCTGTAGAGCTTTGCAACGTGGGAGGAGTGCTGTTGCTGTTGCGTGAACATGATGAAGTTGAATCTTCGTACATCTGTGTGGTGGCCGAAGCTTGACGCTGATGTGGAGTCTTTCGTAACAGGCTGCAGAGGATGTATTTTTGTATCGGCTATCGATTACCTTGGACCACTTCCAGAGGGACAGCATCTACTCGTTATAGTAGATTGCTATAGTCGATACTTGGAAGAGCACGATTAACAGTCTAATGAAGGTATTCAATCGTTTTGGAATTCCTGCATTGATCAAGGCTTATAATGGTCCTCAATTTGCCAGTCAAGAGTTTAGGGTTTTCTGTGAGACATACGCGATACGTTTAGTTAACATCATTCCGTATTGGCCGCAAATGAATGGCCAGGTGGAGCGACAAAATCGCTCTATCCTGAAACGATTGAGGATTGCTCAAGAACTCGGCAAAGATTGGAGGGAGGAGCTTCATAAGTACTTGTTGGTCTACCATGCAACGAATCATTCAATCACAGGACAGCCACCATCTACGTTCATGTTTGGAAGGCGAATTAAGAGTAAACTGCCCCGTGTTCCAGGTCATGCAGATGACGAGGCGGTGAGAGATTCCGACAAGCTACAGAAGCAGAAAGGGAAGAAGTATACGGACTAGAAACGCTGAGCTCAACATAGCGATATTCGTGAAAGGATGAGAAAGGAGCATAAGCTGCAAGCCGATTATTCACCCGAAGAATTTCTGGTAGTAAAGAAAGTGGGATCTGATGTAACTGACCGTTCAACAAAATCAGGTATAGAATTCCGACGCAACGTCACGCATCTGAAGAAGATTCCGGGTCATACCGATGCACCCAGACCCGAGCCGAGAAAATTACCAAATCAGACGTCTGGTGATTTGGATCATGATCAGACTTTGCCTACTAATCGAGATATTACGGACACTCCAAAGGGTGAAGTAGGACCGACGCGTTCTAAGCGTCAACTATCTGAACCAGCTAAGTTTCAGGATTATGTGCCTTATTAACATCAAGAAATGCCCCGTAACGTGGGTAGATCCCCTTTTCGTGGTACGTTACGGGATGTAAGATCTACCACCGATTCCTAGTCTTGACTACTTCAAACTAGGAAAACAGGATTTTTCAGTTATCAAGAAACACATCTTAGTCCTTGTTACTTTTTATGCCTTGTTGATAGTGATAAGTCCTCGGGTTGCCTGGACCGAGGATGATCTTGAAACAAGGAAAAAATGAGTTAGTTAGTCTTCATCTATGTGATTCCTAATCTTCTTTTCGTTGTTCCCTAGTTTGAAGTGGTTAAGACTAGGTCACTATCGGTGTCATTCTTTAATTTTTTTTGCTAAGGAATCCAATTTTGACTGACAAAGGGGCGCACCTTTGGAGGGTGTTTCAACACTCCGAAGGGTATAAGTAGCGGGACCTTTCAATTAGAATCGATTCCTTGTGATGAAGGCAAGAATTACAACTGTATCAAAACCGAATACTTCATCATTTCTCAATAGTGATGAAGTAATACGACATGCACTAAACTAAAGGGTGTCCACGATGAAATTGCCACACTATGAAATTGCTCTAACTTTTTAACCGTTGGGTAGAATTTAATGAAAATTTGGGTGGATTTAGTTCATAGTGCATTATTTACATCCTGTAAGTTTTAAAGTCCTGTGATCAAAACTCGCGGAAATGGAGTCGAAAGAACAGCTCGTGCGTGATAAAATCTTGCGCATTCATCACGAGAACAAGGATCTCTCGCATCGTTCCATCGCTAAAACGTTGGGAATCGCGAATTCCACGGTGTCGCGAGTGATTAAGCGGTTCGAGGAACGGTTGACCACCGATCGGAAGCCCAGAAGTGAAGGAAAAAGTATTCCGTACAACACCAAAAATCACAACCGCGTAGTTGGGGCCTTCAACCGAAATCCGAACGCCTCCGTTAGGGATGTGGCTAAGAAGCTGCACCTAAGCCTGGCTAAGAAGCTGCACTTCGTCCAGAAGGCCAAAACTAAGGCTGGGCTTCGAACGTTCAAGGTACAAAAGGCCCCTAATCGCGACGAGAAGCAGAACAAGTCCGCCAAAACCCGTGCCAGGAAGTTGTACCTCAACATGCTGACGAAAGTTGAATGCTGCATCATGGACGACGAAACATATGTGAAGGCCGACTTCAAACAGATCCCCGGCAACCTGTTTTTCACGGCCAAGGATAAGTTCAGCGTTCCGGAGCATGTCCGCACTCAGAAGATGTCCAAATTTGCGAAGAAATTCCTGGTTTGGCAAGCCATCTGCACGTGCGGGAAGCGGAGTGCACCTTTCGTGACCCAGGACACGATAAACGGACAGGTGTACATAAAAGAGTGCCTCCAGAAGCGGCTGCTTCCTCTCCTGAAGGCCCACAACGTCCCAACAATCTTCTGGCCGGATTTGGCCTCATGCCACTACTCCAAGGACGTGCTGAAGTGGTATGCGGACAATAAGGTCAATTTCGTGCCGAAAATGTTCAACCCTCCCAACACTCCGGAGCTCCGCCCCATCGAGAAGTACTGGGCGATTATGAAGCAGCACCTTCTTAAACGACCTAAGGTAGTGAAGACAGTCGAGGAACTGAAGAAAGTATGGGTTTACATGCAAAAAACGGTTGATTCACAGGTTGTGCAGAATCTTATGGCCGGGGTTAAGGCCAAGGTGCGGGCATTTGCGTATGGACTGTAAATAAAATACGAGTAAAATGGTAAAATGAAGTTTAATAGTTATTTCTCAATCCCTGAAAATTTGATGGCAATCGGATGAAAACTCGAATTTTGCGAATCAATTTTGTGTGTGGCAATTTCATCGTGGACACCCTTTAAGGACACGGGATATACTACAATGGATCAAATTACTGGTCGCAGTAGCTTTACCGTATGCAAGATAATGTTTGCACCATCGTTCACATAAGGTTCCCGTTTCACCTGTGCTTACAATGCCTTGGTTTACTTGGTCTACGAGTCGAACGATGCAAGAAAATTTTGAACTTCCTTAACCTAAAAAATTCGGTAATCCTGTTCACCGACGAGAGCATATTTACCGTCGATCCCGTATCAAATTCTAGAACCGATCGGTATATTAGTTCTCTTCCGGTAAAAGACGTGGCCGACGAGCACAAGAACGTGTATCTGACCAAGCATCCTGCTAGCGTTATGGTGTTTGGATTGGTGGCTTCCGATGGCAAAAAAATGGACCCGGTGTTCATTCCAGAAAGCGACAAGGTCAACACGGTGGTCTACATCCGGATTTTAAGTAAGTATGTTCTTCCGTGCATCAAAGAACAGTACGGTCCGAAGCCAAATGTTGTATTTCAACAATATGGGGCTCCGTGCCACACCTCGAACCGCTCTCAGAAGTGGTTGCAGGAACATCTTCCGTTCTGGGCGAAGGATATGTGGCAGCCATCCAGCCCTGATCTTAATCCGCTTGATTACTCAATATGGTAATCCATGATTACAGATAATTTATGTATGTGCACTTTCTTCGATTATCAGTAATTCTTACCGATATCTACACGGAGATGACAACGGCGCCGGTGGTGTAGTGGTAAGCGTGATTACCTCTCACCCCAGCAGGCCTGGGTTCAATCCCAGTCGGAGCCGCCGGGATGTTCTGAGGCATAACATCTCTGATCACGCCTTCCTTCGGATGGGAAGTAAAGCCGTTGGTCCCCGGTTCATGAGTTGATGGGTCGATAGGTAGGGTCCAGGTGTGGGAGCTGCCTTCCTGGCACGTCGGTAGCATTGGTGCTCAGCACAGAAAACAAGATCGACGGAAAAAAAAACAAACCATAAGAAAAAAAAAAAAATACACGGAGATGAAAAACTATCCAAAATTAAGTACTTTTCCCTCAATTCCGGGGTTCAGCCCAATAATCCAAATTTGAGTAAATCGCATATAGTAGTTTCCATTTAACACCAGCAGGGCGTCACAATATCAGCTTCAATCGACCAAATCGATACGACGAAGAGACTGCTGGCTTTCTTTTTCTGTTAAAGTCGAACAGCTTCGCAGCATTCTAGAACCTCAGTCGGCGTGCACAAACAAATGTTCAATCGCTTGTCTCTCTTTCTCCCGTCGCTCCATTGGTCTTCCTTTCAAGCTTCGTCGAAACGGATGAGCGAAAGAGCGCTCGACTTTGATAGTTTTCACTTTCATGAAACACATCAACAGAGGTTTCATGACGTATATGACGGAAAATGAAATAACACATTTAAAGCATTTCTCACGTCAAAACACTTGAAGATTACACGTCATATTTCTAATTTATCTTCCATCCATATATTTATCTAAAAAAATGATCGAAAACGGGACATAACGCATTTTAAACAAATTGAAAGAGCGGTGATAGAGTGTTCGTGAAGGGGGATTGAAAGCCATAATGAGCATCGTTTAACTAGAAAATCGACGTTAGTTACATTGAAAGCGATGAGCAAAGCAACGACGAGAAATTCCACAGCCAGCCTTTCCTTCTAAGCGTCCTGCTTTTTTATTTTCGTTTCTTGCTGATAGTCTAGCTAGGCGTTATAGAAATGAAGTGTCGAACACGTATGTATGAGAGAAACAAAACACGAGTTCATTTTAGAGCTTCGAAATTGTAGAGCCCTGAACACCAGCAAAAAAATACCTACTCTTAAGTATATTCTACACAAAATTAAGTTTAATTCACGTAAATTTGAGAATATGCAATTTACTCAAAAGTAACTTATTGGGCTGAACTAAAGGGCGAACACGAAATTATTGCGACACATTCAACAGGGCATAACTTTTTTACCATTGGGTAAAAATCAACCAAATTTTGCACACTTTCTCATTGATGTGTATTGTGTACATGCTGTCAAACTCGAAGTCGTGTTTTTCGATTCAACGAAAATGGAGGTGAACCAACGCGAGTTGAGAGAACAAATTCTTTCCAAACACCTGGAATTTCCTGACCTGTCGCACCGGCAGTTGGGAAAAATGTTGAACATTCACCATTCAACCGTCTCCAGAGTGTTGAAGCGGTTCCAGGAGCGGTTGACGTTGGACCACGGCAAAGGAGCTGGAAGAAAACCTGGGACCGGAGAACAAAAAGACGGAGGGAAAGGTGAAGCGGATGATTAAAGCAAATCCCAACGTCTCAAGCCGTGATTTGGCTAAAAAGATCGGCATGTCGCAGAGCTACGTCCAGAATGCAAAGAAGAGAGCTGGACTACATACATACAAGGTACAGAACTTCCCAAACCGCGATGAGCGGCAACAATCGACGGCTAAAACTCGGGCACGGAAGCTCTACGAGAAAATGCTGACAAAATATGGCTGCTGTGTGATGGACGACGAAACGTATATATAAGAGGATTTTAAGCAAATTCCGGGCTTGGAGTTTTTCACCGGCAAGAGCAAGTTCGATGTGGACGACAAATTTAAGAAGAAGAAAATGTCGAAGTTCGCCTCCAAATATCTCATTTGGCAGGCCATCTGCTCTTGCGGACTGAGGAGTGAGCCTTTTGTGACAAAGGGCACAGTAAATGGCGAGATCTACAAATCTGAGTGCCTCGAGAAGCGCCTTTTGCCGTTCTTGCAGCAGCACGACGAAGCTCCGCTATTTTGGCCAGATTTGACATCATGCCACTATTCTAAAAGTGTCCTGGAGTGGTATGAGACCAATTCTGTCCATTTTGTTCCAAAGGACATGAATCCGCCAAACTGTCCGGAGCTGCGCCCGGAATAATGAAGCGGGAACTTCGGAAGAGCAAGAAGACAGTCAAAGACGAGAAGGACATGTTAAGAAAATGGAAAAAAAAACTGAGAAACTGGTACCGGATGACACTGTAAAGACTTTGATGGAGGGCATCAAGCGAAAATGCGTTCAATTTTACACTCAAGGCTCCATCGATTAACTTTTCTTTTGATTTTTGAAGTAAATATATGTATAAAACTACCCTAAAATTTTGGTTTGATTCTAAACATTATAAGAAAATTGGCATGACATTTTCGGTGTCGCAATAATTTCGTGTTCGCCCTTTATATCGTTGGGTCGAATCTCTCGTTCCTTTTTTGACAACAATAACGAGTGCAAGTTAAAGGCTGAAGTCGATATTAAGTAAAAAGAACTCAAATTATGGGTTGTATTTTTCTCCGTGTAGGTATTCTTTACCGACTTTAAGGCCTAGTGCACTGAACCAAAACATCCGCAATACTTCGAATGATTATTGCATTGCTCGAGCCCTTTAACGATATGCATTAGAATTTCGGATGATTTTCTTATGGTTGAATTCGTCGTCAGATGATGAGCATCCATATGACTGTCATCCAAATACATAATGATTTTCGTTTGAAAATTAGCTATAAAACATACGGCACTCAGAGGACAAACAATTAAGAATAGTGTGACATGCAAGTGCTTTTAAACAGATTTATAATTTGATTATCAACATTTCGATACTGAATAGCCATAATCTAATAAGCCATTCCATAATGAATACACAATTTTTTCGTGGTGGAGGAAACATTGGTTTTCGTCCTTTACCTATGTTCGACACAGCTCTGATAGCGATGCATATGCTTCCACCTCGTTTGTCAGCTCAGATCAGCAAATGACATTCGATAGAATTATTTACATCATCGTTTTGAATGATTTGCGTTATGGGGCTAAACCAATACCATATACATTTCCATTTAGTATGACATTCATTCTGCAGAGAGCATTACGCATTTCAACTGAAGGCCCTATCCCTTCTCATAACAATTTTCATCCTGTTTTCTAGAGGAAAATCATCTGATTTCAAAACAACCGTCATCCGTTGCAGGTATCATTCGAAAAAGCGATTTCGATGATTTGTTTTGAATGGTTTGAGGTTTCATTCGATCAGAGGATGATGTTTGTGTACAGTGTGCATCTTAGCGTGTACGCTAAAAATATCTATAATAAAGTTTAAAAAAAGCCTACTCTGTCAAAACCGTCCATCATGTCAATATTTTTCTCCGTACCACGCACAGTAAGGGTCAGACCAGCATTATAAAAGCTTTCTCCTCCGAGGTGTTCTTAACAGACAGGAACAATCATGGAATTTTTAAATAGAAATTCAGTTTGACACCCTGATAGGGTTAACTACCCCATTTCCGGCCTATTAAGCACAACCCGCACTTAGTCTTTCTTAATCTATAGCAGTTAAGCACCGAACGGAATGTTTTTATTACTGATGGCTTCCAAATTTATTTACTTTTCCGTACGTACCGTAAGATTTGATAAAGAGAAACCAATGGTTGAGATATTGCCAAAAGTCTAACACTGCTTCTTGACGCCAAACTCGGCCTACGGATTCTAAACTCGGCCTGACGCATTGAAACACCATTGAAACGCCAATGAATTCACTTCGACCTGTCGGATGAAGATAAAACATGATTCGGTCGGAGCGCTTGTTTTGTTTTTGGGAAAAATGGGTGCAAACATTCATATCACGCGTTCTCATTGACTTCGTTCGGTAGCTTATTAACTAAAGTATCGTACCAAACGCATAATAGACTTGTTAACTCTGAAATCATGGATTTATTTGAAGTTTTCTGATCGATAGGCCCAAAATGGGCGGTTAGGCCGAAGTAGTTTTCTACCCTACTTTTATTATTTTGAGATTAGAGCCCCCATTTTGTTATAATAATTAAAGCACAACATCAAGATAGCGCTAGTCTGAACAAGGATCTTCTGGGCTCTTCAACCGTAGATAATCAAATGATCTTCCTTGGAACATCCACACCTAATATCTTAATTTTCTTTCCATTTCCGATTTCCAGGGCATCAGCGAAACGGCACACAATTTGGTCGAGCTGACGGCACTCGAGCATGACCAGAAGGGCTACACCGGTGCCGTTGGAGCGGTAATGCGTCAAATTCCGCCTATGGTTATGCAACCGATTGTGCTGGCCACCCAAGCCACCAGCAACGTGCTCGGCGGTGTGAAGAACCAACTTGTGCCAGATGCCCGTGCCGAAGCCCGTGAAAAATACAAGGATGATGTAGAATAGAGAAGAACGGTGGCCATTTGTATCGTATGACTTCATCTTCTTCTTCTTCTTGATCCATCAGTTGATGCTTTATTTTACGCAACTTTGACACTAATGTTAGTCTTTTGTGATCTAATCAAAACCCACTGTTTAGAAATAGGTTCAATGTTTATGACTATTCATATTTTAAGGTGAATTGATTCTACACGATTAGGAGCAACTTATCCGATTTTTAGCAAAACGAAGAAAATCATGTGATAAACAGTAATGTAAACAATATGCTAGAGCAGCTATATACTGTGACCGTGTGCCGTTAGGTACGCAATAAACGAACCGCATTGAATTCAATAGCAACCCTTTTTCGGAAGCAGTTTTACGACAGATTGAGGAAGGTTTTTCATCGAACGTTAAAAAAAAAAGTCGCACGAATTAGTAATTCGGTATGATATGATAGATGGTTAATCTCTCTAAAAGCTAATAGTTGAATAAGAATCGTTCATTCTGCTACTAAAGAGTTCCATCTTTCGTCTCTAGTTTTATTGTATTGAACAAAAATTAAGAATATCCATATTTCTATGAAACTAAGATTAAAATATATCCTCTCAACAATGCTAATCGGACCGTATCGAAAATGATAGAAAGTGGGCAGTTTTCGTGTGTGACGGTATGATAGGAAAATTTGGAATGTTTCTTCTGTCAGTCATTTATTGAAGAACATTTTTAAGATGAGCGAAACCACGTGCTAGGCATAATTTAACACTAGAGAGCAATGATTGTGAGTGAACGCGGACGAAATGATTCGTATCATATAAAACTAAATTCAACATCAGTTGAGAAACGGTCGAAGCAACATAAATACACCACCAGAGTGTGATTAGTACTTCGGATTCCTGTTGTCCTTTTCATTTAACATTGTGAAATCCTTCAATATGGTGAGTTGCAGCAACAATTCACTATCAGCTGATGCTCGTAGCATGAATTTGCGTAAAGGAAACTGCAATCCTCCTGGTAGCCGCAGCCCCCGTAGCCGATACCTGTAAGTCATTTGTGTGTGTGTCAGTTCATGCTCTTATGTATTTATAGAACCTACATACCGTTGGAAAGTCCCCCTCCAAATCCTTGACCGTAACCGCTGTTCGTGGTTCCGCAACAGCATCCATCGTGGTAAACCTTGTAGTCACAGTAGCTGTACACGGAAGCATCGCACAGTGGACATCCGGGAAGGGCTCGCCTTTGCGGAACCAGTATAATCTGCTGGGCAGGAAGGGGCGATCGTAGCGTATCTAGAACGCGCGTTACTAACTTCAAGGTAGGAGCTTCGTCATTCTGCGCCGGAGACTCGTCCTGCGGCATATCGTTGACCGTGCTTGTTTCATGATTTGCAGCTGCTGCTACCGTCGGATCGGCAGCTACCAAGGGTTGAGGTAGTATGATTTGATGGAATGTGGGTGATTGGAGAATTTCGACTGCAGAGTGGCAAAAATAGTTATTATTTAATTTTATTTTGTTTGAACTGTAGTATTCGATTATCTGAAAGTAACAGAAAAGGCTTCGTAGGCCTTGATCCACAGATCAAGCATTAACCATTTAATTTAAGCAATATTTATTGCAGAATCTTCTTCGTTCAGCATTAACCATAAAAGGCGAGTTTCTGGAAAAGCTTCAGTAATTTAGATATTGTAATTGTTTATTTGTTTATTTGTTTGTTTATTTGTTTATTTAATAATTCAACTGGCAATTAATGTCTTAATGAATAAAACTTAATCTAAATAGTTATGGTCAACGAAACGAAAACAGTCAAGTAACCGGTGACGAAACACATTTGCTGATACGTTAAAGTCAAATTCGCAATAAAAGTAGTTAAATTGTCGGCTGATTGCACGAATTGGCTCATTCTGCGTATAATTTCTGCCTCGTGGCTCCAAAAACAGAAATTCGCGTTGACGAAGAGGTCTCTCAGGAGCATACATATTTAGCTGGGCCAGCAACGTTGGACAGTCGATGTCACCCGTGAGAAGCTCTCCAGCAAACATAGCTTGAGCGACCGTCCGTCGCACCACTAGCGGTTCGATGCCCAGAAGACGGCAACGCTCCTCGTACGGTGGCAGGTTCGATGAGTCACGTCAGTTCAAGAAACGAAGAGCATATCTCACAAACTTTCGTTGAACAAATTCGATTCTAGCGATCCAAGTGGCTTGGAAAGGGCACCATACAACTGCACTTGATTCTAATATAGACCGCACAAGTGAGCAGTAAAGTGATCTGAGGCATAACGGGTCCCGGAACTCATCGGCAATTTTGAAAATAAAACCCAGTTGGCGATTGGCTCGGGAAATGATGTCGTTAAAATGGATTTAGAAGATGAGCCCGCAGTCCAGAGTAACACCGAGATCCTTTATTTGTTCTACACGGGCAATGCAACGTCCAAAGAGCACATAGTCAAACATAATTGGTTCGTTTTTACGGTGATAGGAGATGACGTTGCATTTTTCGATGCTCAGGCCCATCAAATTTCTCGTGCATTAATCAGCGAAAATACATCGCATATGCTGGAGATCCCAACAGTCCGAGAGGCTTTTGATAATTTTGTAGATTTTGGCGTCATCTGCGTAGAAAAGACGACATCCAGATGGTAAAAACAGAGCGATGTCGTTTAAAAAGATCGAAAACAGCAGAGGTCCCAGGTTGCTGCCTTGCGGGACTCCCGAGTTGTTTGAGAAAACATTTGATTCCGTCGCGCCAATCTTGACTCGTACAGAGCGATTCACTAAGTACGATCTGAACCATTTTACAGCCGTAGACGAAACACTTAGTATCTCCAACTTAACAAGCAGGATTTCATGATCCACCCTGTCAAAAGCGGCTTTTAAGTCCATGTATGCAGCATCAACTTGCCATCCAGCATCCAAGCTTCGCAGACAGTCAGAGGTAAACTGCACCAGGTTCGTGGAAACCGATCGCTTGGGGTAAAAACCCTGTTGGTCCGTATCGATATAATTTTTACAGCACATAAACAGAGCATCATTTACAATAATCTCGAAAAGTTTAGAGCAGGTGCACATGGAGGAAATCCCACGATAATTAGTGACCTTCCGTTTGTCTCCTTTTTTGTGAATTGGAAACAGATAGGAAAGCTTCCAGCGGGAGGGGAATTCACATTGCTGTGCCGAGAAATTAAAAAGTCGCGCAAGTGGAAGGCAGAGGTGACTGCACATTGTTTTAAAACTGACGAGGGAATTCCGTCAGGACCAGCGGCGAATGAGATCTTCATTTTGCGTGTTGCGGCTATCACCATGTCTTCAGTGATGTGAGGTATGTCAAAACTAAAAACATCACGTGGCATCCCGGAGGTTGCGACCAACACCTGTGTCGGTGAAGCGGAAAAATCGTGGAAGACTTGTTTGAATTGACGAGCAAACAAGCTGCATTTTTCACTTTCGCTGCAGGCCGTATGATCTCCGAGGAACATGGAACAAGGCAGCCCGGATTCTTTCCGTTTTGAATTTACAAACGACCAAAAACCTTTCGGGTTCGACCGAAGGTTCGCTTCCGTGCGTCTCACGTGCCGATTATAGAGGAAGTGGTTGTAGTTTCGATAGCGACGACTTGCGAAATTAAACTGTTGCTTGTAGAACGGTGAGCGAGAGCTGCAGTACCTTCGGAGTGCGGCGGAGCGCTGACGTTTTAGTTTACGTAGGCGTGGGTTCGACCATGGAGGCTTCTGCGGGGGACGTCTTGCTGGGACAGTGCGGAAAATAACTTCTTCCAGCGCAGAGCTGAAACAATGCACAGCATCATTGACACTAGCGGCCGTTTCGATACAGTGCCAATCTATTTCCGCAAGCGCATTGTTCAATGCAGTGTAATCGGCCCGGCGAAAGTCCAGAAAGCAGCACTCGGAAAACGGTATATATTCAATTGGAGTGGATAAACTTAGTGACACGACGAGAGCGGGATGGTCGGCATCTAGATCGATCAGTGGCTCGACCGGTAGAGAAACAGAAGTGTCTGGTAATGCTGAATCATTTGCCAGAACAAGATCTAACAAACGTCCATTACGGTTGGGAAAAATGTTCGCCTGAGTGAACCCATGAATGTTAAATCCGTCCAAAAGTTCACAGCAAGCAACCGGCATATGCGATAGCAGAGGATCAATGAATGGTGTGCCACTGTCAGAGAAACGCCACTGTAAACCAGCTTGGTTGTAGTCGCCAAATAGGAGAGCGGGAGAATTGGGGCACAATTAAGACGAAATCGAGCCCAACGAATTAACGTGCTCATGGATGATCGTGCAGTCGTTTTTTCGGTCAGGGGTAGGTAGACTGCGCCTACACTGAGCTTGGTTCTTGGCAGATCCACAACAATCCAGATTTGCTCTAGCAGACTTGAAATGGGCGAGGTACTTACATAGCTGGTCAGTTTCGTTGTGACGGCGATCAGAACCCCACCACCACGCAATTTTTGACTATTTAGGGGAGAGCGGTCGGTTCTGAAGACGGAATAATGCGATCCAAACAGCTGCGGTGAGTAAATCCAATCATCCAGCCACGTTTCTGTCAGAACAATCAAATCGTACTCAGCCTCCGAGACAGCCAGGAAAAACGGGTCGATTTTAGTCCGCAGCCCACGCACATTTTGGTAGTAAATCCGGAGACCACTCAAGATGCCACTACGCGAACTGGAAGTTGAAGGGAAATCAGGTACCGAAAGTTCGAAATCGCAATTATACTCGCCTGGAGTTGCAGGCCGGAAGCCCCCGATACCACCATTGCATAGCCCGTGCCTTCCGCTAAATTGGCGTATCTACACTATAAAAAATCTTCACGTCCGATTTACGTGAAATATCACGTAGCTGATTTGTATTTAGAAAATCTGAAATGTTACGTGACGTTTGTAACTTTGACCTGCATTACACGTCATGTCCACTAAAAATGTTGGTGAAATTTACCGTATATTCACGTAAACAGATATAGTGTATTTGTGTTTGTGTGTTTGTGGACGACACAGACGTTTATGGTGGAAGTACTCCTCACAGATTCAAAATTCCTCAGCGCTTGCTGCAAATGTTGGACGGTAATTAGATTCGTTTACATTAATTTATTTATTATTATATGTAGCCTTTTTCATGTTTTATAATTTCAGACGGTGACATCAGCATTTTGAGTCTGCAAACAGTTGTTAATATTTTGTCAGAAAAAAAAACTCATACACGTTTCTACCTTATAATAATCAATTAGTCGATATTTTACAATTTTATGAATGATATAAGTATTAATTTAAACACGTTTTTGTGCAAATTTAGTCTTAATTTCGTTAATTCTGGAATCTATTTTGGGAATGCCTGCCTCTTCGTGTAAATTGGTTATTCTAGCGTCGAAAGGACGATCAAGAATCATCCTCAGCACTCTATTCTAAGCGACCTGAATTTCGTTCCTGTGAGTTTGTTCACATGTTTCCCACACCGGAGCTGCGTAGAGGATCGCAGGTGCTATGATTTGTTTGTAGACAGCCAGTTTGTTCACCCTTGAGAGGCGGGATCTGCGGCAAATCAGCGGATACAGACACCTAACCAAAACGGAACACTTGACTACAGTTTGCTCTACATGCGAACGGAAGAGGAGCTTTTCGTCGAACAACATCCCGAGATAGGTTACTTCGGCGGACCACTCAACCCTTGTGCCATACATGATTACAGTACAAGATGGAGCCGGTTTCAGTTTCGGCAATTGCCGATGGAGGAACATGATTGTTTGTGTTTTGGAGGAATTGATTTTAATTTTTCACGTGGTGGCATAATCAGCAAAGGCGTTAAGGCATCGTTGAAGTTTGTTCGTTATTTCGTGAGACATCCTTCCTTTGACGACTATTGCTGTATCATCTGCGAACAGGAAGAACACGCAACCGTCTCTAAGGGGAGGAATGTCGGCAGTGTAAATGCTGTAAAGCAAGGGGCTCAGCAGACTGCCTTGCGGGACTCCTGCTGGGATGGAAACCGTGTCTGAAAGACAACCATTCAACGATACCTTAAACGACCTTTGCTGGAGGTAGTTACGGGTGATTTTAACAAGATGTAAAGGAAAGATGAAGTTACAAAGCTTGTATACAAGCCCATCGTGCCATACATTGTCAAACGCTTTCTCAACGTCTAACAATGCCATGGCTGTGGACTTGGATACAGCTTTATTACTTCGGATGTTATTCATCACCCGTACTAGCTGGTGATTGGTGGAGTGCTCCTTTCTAAATCCAAACTGTTCCGAAAGGAGAATGTTATTTTCCTCGACAAACTTGAGCAAACGATTGAGAATGAGTTTCTCGAACAATTTGCTCAGCGCTGAAAGGAGGCTGATTGGTCTGTAGCTTGAAGGCAATGTTGGATCCTTTCCGGGCTTGCGGATTGGTATGATTTTTGCTCCCTTCAGATGCTTGGAAAGTAGTGCAGTTCCAAGCATCTGTTGAAGATAGC